CGACTTTGAACAGTCTTTGTCTGAACAGTCAAAGTCTTAACAGAAATTAATAAGAAATAGCTATGTTTTAAGGAATAAATCAGATAGTGAAATTTCTCATTAAAATTGTCTGAATTGCTGTGTTACATTTATTTGGTAATACCTGTGTGATGGGATACATTAATCATGAACACGCTGCCTTTTCCTCTTTTCCCCAAAAAGTTGACCATGAGTTTTGGTTCGAAAAAGACTAATGATTAATAGTGTGGTTTCGCAGTACCCCTTTTTGCTAATTGGCTAGAAGATCGGGAAGAGGAGGTTGCATTCACAGTCTGAGCTGTCGTTTTATGAATACTTTGTGCTCGAGCAGACTTTGTGTCTTTCCGCTAGGAACAGGCATGTTCCCCCGCTCCAGCACTCGGCGCACGTGGGGCGGCAGCAGAGGAGCTTCTCTTCGGTGTTTCTCGCGACGTGATGGCAGCAAAACTCCGCTTGGCACCAGCTGAACCAGTCAGAGTGGTTTTCTGTCAGAGCGGCTGCTTGCCTGCAAGGGAGTTTGCTAGTGTAACGATCCCACCAGAAAATAATTTTGCGACTAGCGAAATTTTAAGCCAGGCGTTAGGTGGGAGCTTCCGCCTTTTGCGCGTGAGCCAGCCTGCTGGCTTCCGTGAGGCTGGTGTCCAAGAGAATATGTACAGCATTAGCCCTTTGACTTGGAGGGGTTCCGGAAAGGCTCAGGAACCAAGATAACAGGATGGGGTGGCAGATGTGCTTCCTCGTAGAAGTAGTCACGCGTCAGTGCTGTGGGTTGGAAGGAAATGTGAAATCGTTCCTCTATACTTGAAGATCTTAAAGGTCTTTTCCAACCTAAATGATTCTGTGATTCTATTCATGGTTTAAACGAGAGATAACTGGGGGTAGGAGGTGTAGGTATTGAAGTAAATGGCTCAAATTGTCCATCAAGTGAATGTTGATTGCAGTACAAGAAACAGTGAGACTGAGGACAGTGCTGTGATACCTATGTTGTAACCTGGGTAGCTAGCTTTCAGCTGTGTTGCTAATGTGAAGTAGAAAACAAATGAAAGGTTGAGGGAAACAGTAAGTATATTACCAAGAGAGGGGAGAAATATTGTGAGATTTTAAGCATCCAGGCATCTCAGAATTAAGTTTTATGTATAAAACAGTAATAATAATGAGTACTATGAAGATGCACAGCTGAAATCCGAAGAAGTTTAACTTGCAACAGCATCATGTAATAACCATTTGCTTTAAGTATATGGTATGTATTCTGTTTCAGTTAAACAGATTTTTAATGCACAGTTCTTTCCAAACTAATATCTGCAATGTTGTTAGGTATTTAACATAATTTGAAAATACATGTTATCAAACTTAAGTAATTTAAACAATAGGAATTCTTAGGCTGACTTTGTCTCTACACCAATTACTTAAACTGGTTTTACACTGGATGTCAGTCTTCAAATCAGCCAAAGCTTACAGGCAAATCAGTCAATTCACTTTTTCTTTTGTTGTTCACTGGTTTGAAAAATGACAATTTGAAAATCAAGAGAGAATAAAGGCTAAGTTTCAGTTTCAGTCAAGTTGTCCTTTCATACTTCCCCTAGCATTATAAACGAAAGCAGTAAGCAGTAACCTAGCTCTGAGTGTTCTTGACACATTGGCTGCCTTCTCATACTGCTAACTCTTCAGAAGTCTCTGCAAGATGGGCGATTAGGTAGTTACTTCCAAAATGATAGGTGCTACGTATGAGTCTTCTTCCTTCTTGGGGATTCTGCCCATTACCTGTATAATCATACTCTTCGATAAGCTTTTCATTAACAACTTCAAAAACAAAAGTAATTCATAAATATAAATGTTACATAGGATTTCAGTAAGTTTTAGCTAAGGGAATTTGGACAATTGGTTGTTCTGGGTCTCTCTGTAATTTGTGGTACTTCTTAAGAAAATTAGAGACAAAAAAATATTGATGCTGATTTTCTTGTTTCTGTATTTTCTTGTGATCCACCTGTTTTCTGCCTTATTCTCTCTGGAGGTATAGGCTCTGATTTTATTCACTTAGTGACTCCTGGTTTAGAATTTCTAGGCACAAAAGGATCAAAAATCAGAAGTACCTGTGGTTCCCTTTACATGTAGTTTCACAGAAAGCTTGTTCTCCGAGTAATTCTTACCAATTTGTCACTTATAACACATTTTGTGTACAGAACAGGGTTGTGACTTCAGAGTACAAACCTTTTTTGCCTTTAACTAAAGAGCTTCAGAGTATGCCTCTGACAACTCTGTGATAAGTAGAAAAGTATATAAATACAGTGAAATAGAGATTTTCAAGGAAATAGAATTTCCTCAGTAACTTCTTTGTTTCTGATTATAGCAATTAATAGTATTGTTTATGTATAAACTCAGTAAGATTCAGCACCGATAGGATTACAGTGATCCTCGTGTTTTAAGACTGAGTTCAGACCAGGAAGAAGCATGTCCTGTAAAATAGTAATGATCACCAGTGAGATCTGTCTAGCCACATTTTCTTACAAAATTCCCCCTAAAAAGATTACTATCTGTTCCTATGCTATATTAAAAAGAAAAGCATGTCAGTTAAATGGATCTGAGTAGGGGGAGCTTATGTTCTAAATATAAAATTTATACTGATAACTTTTTGCCGTTTTTGTGGGGAAAAAAAGTGGCTTGGAGGAGTGAAAGTTAAAGCTTTGATTGGACATTAAAAAAAGTCTCTGAAAAAGTTGCCAGATCAATTGATAACATCCGTGTGTCCGCTCCTCATCTGTGAAATGGAGATAGTATTAATATCCTTTTTCATGATCTACTGTGGGTCAAGCTCATTAACTGATTATGGAGTTTTTTTGTAAATCCTGTAGCTATTTGACTACTAAAAAGACTACTGAAAAGGTTTAGTATAAAGTGAGAACTTACCAAATGTAATGGTGAAGTAAACCATGTTTTAAAACAATATTAAAATATTTTAGAAGGTAATTGGGTATCTTAGGAATATGTTGAATACCCATAGATATCCAGTATAGATACCTAATGGGTGTTTTTTGTGGAAAAACTGCACAGGCCAGGTTTGGTTTACCTTTTCGTCTCATTCAAATTATGAAATAAGATTTATGCAAAACCCATTTTATATTGGTTTTAATAATGACCCCAGTTTGAATGACCTTTAACAACACACTTACTTGATCTTTATTATGTGTTTTTTAATTCAGGTGTTAAACTCCTTGGTGAGAAAGGATGTGTCGGGTTTATGCTGTGCATGATTAAAAGGAATTATTTGCCACTAACGCTTCTTTTAATTCTTTTTCCAGGACTTCTGTGATTCTGGACCACTGTTACTGAAATGATATTACAGAAGGCGGCGATTGCATTGTGTTTGTTGGATGAAACCCAAATATTTATTTTCAGTCAAGTGGGTAGAACCCCCTAACTGCAGTTTACATGTGTAGGTCACTGCGTTACTGTGTTAGTCATTGTCTCTATACAGCAATGACAAGGCTAGAAGAGGCAAACAGAGAAGTGAACATGCACTCATCAGTCAGATACCTTGGCTATCTTGCCAGAATCAACTTACTGGTTGCCATTTGCATGGGCCTCTATGTCAGATGGGAAAAAACTGCGGATGCACTGATTTTGGTAATATTTATTCTGGGGCTCTTTGTTCTTGGAATTGCCAGCATACTGTACTACTATTTTTCAATGGAAACAGCAAGTCTGAGTCTCTCCAATCTTTGGTTTGGTTTTTTGCTTGGCCTTCTCTGTTTTCTTAATAATTCTGCCTTCAAGACGGATGTGAAAGAAGAAGCTACTAAATATTTGCTCCTTTCTGCCATTGTTTTACGGATATTATGTGCTTTGGTTGAGAGGATTTGTGGTTGTATTCATCATCGACCGACTCTGCTGACAACAGTTGAATTTTTGGAGCTAGTTGGATTTGCAATTGCCAGCACAACTATGCTGGTGGAAAAATCTATGAGTATTATTCTGTTGGTCATGGCTTTGGCTATGTTGATTATTGACCTACGTATGAAGTCTTTTTTGGCAATTCCGAATTTGGCAATTTTTGGAGCCATTGCATCCTTACTCTTTTTTCCATCACTCCAAATCCCCACAAACCCATTTGCCTTGGCATGTTTCTTCAGCTGCCTGATTTCAGATCCCCTTCTCGACGTTTACTTCAGTGGACTTTCAGTTACTGAACGATGGAAGCCCTACTTGTACCGTGGTAAAATTTGCAGGCGGCTGTCTGTCATCTCAGTTGGAGTCATTGAACTAATCTTTTTCATTCTTGCAGCCTTTAAACTACGTGATTTGGATCTCTGGTATTTTGTGATACCTGGTTTTTCTATTTTTGGAATTTTCTGGATGATTTGTCATGTGATTTTTTTTATAACTCTGTGGGGTTTTCACACAAAACTGAATGACTGTCACAAGGTATACTATACCCACCGTGCAGAAAATAACAGCCTTGACAGAGTTATGGCATCTAGAGGAATGCGTCACTTCTGTTTAATTTCAGAACAGCTAGTATTTTTCAGTCTTGTCGCGACTGCTGTTTTGGGGGCCGTTTCTTGGCAGGTAAATAATAATCTCTGTATCTTGATCTCCCTCTTGAGAATGCTCTGGAGAATTCTTGACTCCTTAAAATTCCTGTGACATTTGATGGTGTGCTGTGGCTCAGCAATTCAGTGTTGGAACACTTGGTTTCATCAGCATGCTCTTTGAATTTAACACTTTGTGCTGCCTTAAGGCAGCTGGAACTAACCAGCTTCCTTAAGTGGGCAGAATGGGAAGAGTTAATGCTTCCAGGGCAAAAGTGTGCAAAGTATTTTAAGTTTACCGACCAATGAAATTATTTTGCTTTTGAATTCATTGTGCCATAAAATTTGTTTTCAAAGTAAATCATAGTGTTGAACCCTAGTAATGCACGTTATACGGATGGCTTTTCTTATGGACTATTTTAATTGAATCAAGGCAAATTCATGTTTTAAGAATGTATTTTTCAATAATTTTGCTTTGCATTGAACCATTAATGTGGAGTTAGAGATCAGCTGAAAAACTGGTAAACTGTTGGTATAGCATGTGCTCCAAGTATCTTATTTTCAAACCTGGTTATGCACCACAGGATATGTCCTCTGAAAGACCAGTTCTTAAAATCACACAGCGTTCTTTGACTTTTCTTTCCATTTCTGAATTAAGGCCACTGTCTTGTCTTTAGCAGAAAACATACATTTCTCTCAAAAGGTTTGTTCAGTGCCCAAGTTAAAGTACATTGTGTGTTGTCACAGTAGCAGCAGGGTGAAAAGGGAGTTTGGTGTCTATTTTCTTTAAGTTGATGAAAAAAAAGACGACAATCATTTTTGTCCCCATGCATCTCTTAAATGAATTACATATATACATCATATATATGTAAAAATTATATATTATTTAGGGCAGATCCAGCTTACAGAAATGTTTCTATACTGTTTCCAAAACAATTTGTTGCCCATTCCTGCAGATTTTCTTAGAATCATAGAATCGTTTAGGTTGGAAAAGACCTTTAAGATCATCCAGTCCAACCATTAAGCTAACACTACCACGTCCACCACTAAAACAATTAAGGGTAGAGTAGCAATTTCTTGTTTCCTGGCTTGG